GTTCACAGGATCGCGCAGACTCCAAACCATCTAACGCCACTTGTTACAAATCTAGAGAGGTTTTCAATCTCATAGGTGGGTTCTCTTTTTCGATCTTTGGTTCAGTCGATTAGTGAAGCTTCTTTTACCAAGGAAACCTTTCAGTTTTTCTCGAAGTTCGCTCATTCGCTTGGCTGTCAGCAAATGGTGGCTTGATTTCCGTGAGAAAACAGTTGTATCGTTTCATTCAGGGTAAAGGATATCCTGATATATGCACACGTAAAGTATTGCGTTGGTTGGTTGAAAAATTGAATGTTCCAATTTACGGCTTATTTGACAGCGATCCTCACGGTATCCTTATGCTTGATACCTTGAGTAAGATATTCCCAAGGAATAGCTTATTCATCTCTTTGAATTTAGGTATCGAGATAATGTTAACGTTTAAATATGGATCCTTGTCAGATTGCAGAGAAGGACAAGGCTGCCATGTGAAACAAATTCAGTGGCTTGGGTATGCTAAGATGTCTCGTTCTGACTAGTTGCCTAGCACCTAACAATCTTCAGGCATTCGGTGCGCGATAAGGAGAAAATATAGTGACTAGTGGTATAAAATGTCATTGAGCTGAAGCGTTAAGAGCGGCCTCGGTAGCGTAATGGATAACACAACCACCCCATAAGCGGGAGATGCGAGATCAGGTCCCGTCTCGTGCCCGACTTTTGCCCTCATGCGATAACTTCCAAAGCGCGAATGCGGCGTTGAATAACAGCTATCCTACTGGAAGAACAACGTGAAAATAGTGCATTTTTTGGATTACAAACCAGTGTCTTGAGAAGTAGCGCACTGTTGCTCTTATCTCACCAAGGAATCTTGTTAAGTTTTGTTTAGATTCAAGCCGTCAGATATATCACGTTTACCCATTATGCAGCACCAATTCCTGAACCTCTCGAATCGCGATTTCATGAAAATATCGAAAATTCGTCGCAGAGCTCAAGGACTGGGAGAAAACGACATCGTCACCGAGGTTTTTTTATTTTAATATGTTTATCTTGAAAGACCAACTGTTCTGCTCTGTAGTCTCCACACACTGAAAGGCTCCACATCTCTCGTTCTTCATTAGGTGGAATTCCCTCCATAGTGGTGGTCAAACGTGCAGATTAAGAAACACAGGGACACTTATGTTTCTTCAGTGTCTACAGTGTCTACCCATAACATACAGATACCCGACTTCACTGATTGTATTAGGTTGTTCGAAAAGTCCTGCGACACTTTGACCAATTTTTCGGACTAAATTTTCAGTCACTAAAAGACATCTCCAATCTACAAGGTAATCACCACTAAGGACTAGGACTAGTGCCCTTCTTTTGCACAGCTTCTCATTTCCATTCTTATAGAACTACGGCAACTATGAATAAGAAGAAAGTGGACCATCATTTTTGGTTATTACGTCGTTTCGAATTTCGCCTTCTTAAGAGCGTAGGGATCAAAAATGTAGTAGTTAGAGAGTGCATAACTTGTGAATATAGCTGGTATGGTCGCATTCTCAGATCAAGATCCACGATCTTTTGGTGTGGCCTGATCCTAACATGCGGTCTTCGCATTGCCGAGCGGTAGAGAAAAATTGAGTATTTTTGAAGAATTCAAGCGTGACGTCATCCATGTTGTGAGGTTGGTTAGAGTGGACTGTAGTCCTTACCTGGTTAGATGCTAGCATCCAGAGATACCGCTTTGAAGTCCCACCAATAACCTACTGAAATCTTTATCTCCATGCACATCTGCTTTTGGCTGTGCAATCTACTTTTCTCTTTGAAGAGATCCTGCGAGGAGCATGTGCAAGATGTACGCAAGGACCCCACCACTCTCTCACCAACCACAAGATCTCACAAATGTTCCTCCAGTGTACAAGGAAAAAAAAAAACTCAGTCACGGTCATTCGGTATGACTTGTCAGAGGGGTTCAACTCATGAGGCATCCTTCATAAAAAATTTTCCGATAACCGAGACTGCGGAGAAGCATGGCAGTTGTCAGTTAGGTGGAGCCTAGAGAGGTTGCCAACTTACTGGTGGTTACGTTCGGCTGCGCCTCAAGAAGCTTGAGTAAAGGGCCGTCATTCTGTGCTGGTGGCCGACCTATACATTGCCTACTTCCGAGTTGAATAAGTCCAGCCTGGAAGCGCTGATGCAAAAGGAACTCTCTGCTATGGCAAGCGATATCCTTCCTCAAGACAACGTAAGTGTTAGCTTCCTCGACTATGGCGGAGTTGCCCTACAGGAACTCATAATATGGGATAGGTCGAGAAGTACCTCGATCTCTGAGGTATTTTTAAGCTTTGAAAACTTCCACGGAGCCATGATATACCCATTTTCAGAAACCCCAGGAGACAGTCTCCACTAATCAGAGATAAAAACATTCAAAATGATTTTTGGTCTTTTTCTAGAACAATTTAATCAAAGTGTCGCAGGACTTTTCGAACAACCTAATAGAACTGTGTGCTCTCCTCCTGCGCTGCTTATTGGTGAGTCATTAGGCACTCACTTATTCATCTTTGAACCCCACATATCCACTACTTGCATATCGGTGTGTGCCTTCGAGTACAAGCTGTGCACTCATCACCGTGACTCCTTGTTATATGTGAGCTGAGTGGGCTCACATCTGCAGTAGGATGCGTCCTTCTTCTATCAAATGCATGGGAAATAGACTGTAGGTAGCGATACCCAGGAACCGCCTCCATACTCCGCTCGCGTGCTGCACGGATAGCAACAGGTCTAACCATAGCCACACTGATACTTGTCTGGCATTTCGCTTCTGATTTTTCTCTACCGGTGAGTCTTCGCTGGAGATCTTGGTATGGCAACTGCTGCAGCTTGAGGACAGCGCAGACTGGTACAGAGACGCCATCCGGGTGTAAATACCCTCCCGTAACTTTCTCTGGCGCCTTTTAAGCAGACACAGCTACTGCAGCTGTGGAGAAGTTTTCTCGCACATGGAGAAGACCGCTCTCAGAGCCAATTGTATTTAAGAGCACAGTTAGTCTTGAAGGTGCGTCTCTCGTTCAAAAACGGTGAGTTATGCGGCTCAAATACTAACGGCTGGGTGGTGATTGGGACACTCGTAGCTTTTTCCCCTTTCTCAACTCATATACACCATTCGAAATAGAGAAGGTAGCGGAGCCACCGTACCACCACGAAGCCTTAAGAAATGAAGGCGCTACTGTGGTAGTGGGCAGGATCGTGCCTCGCCACGAGCTGGTTGCGCTTTTCTCGTTTATTTCCGAGCTGCGAAAATAGTGCATTCTCCAGACCTGCGGACATGGCTATCGTGTCCGAAGTGGGCGATATGAACGCAAAGCGTGCCTTGAGCGTAGCTTGAATTCAGATATCTCTGCGATAGGTTCCTGAGCAGAATACGCTATGATAATCTTGTGAGAGTGGGAAATTCTTCTAATTGATCTCAGTAATGCATAGGAAGCTGATAGTGGCTACGTGAAAAGCACCTTCCTTTTTGATTTCGATAATTTTAGCTGGATCTGTTGCGTACGCTACGCACGAAGTTGGAACTGGAAGCGATCTCTTCAATAGCACCTCAGTACATTACTCGTGTATACCTCATGTCTCGCTTAGCTACACCATCTACACCCAGGTTCCAAATGATCTTACCCCCTTCTGAAACGCGGGGTGAGGAACACAGTAATGACGTGTATCGAGACTGCGTTGAGACGTAGGATACGTTTGCCATTCCATCTCTTATCGCTGAAGTAATAATTTCGTTCTAGAGAGCTATGAGTGTCGCTGTTTTCCCCACTTTTTGATGGGCCCTGGGCATAATCCCCCTCCCCCGTGCCCTCCTTCCCCCCCATCGTAATTTCCACAACGCGACGCCTCCTACATCCAAGGCATCGCTCGCGGAGCTAGTACTCTTAGCTGGTTGACTCGACAGAGCATTTCGACGTTGAATCAATTGTGTCATGACAGCCTGCTCCTTTATACCAATTATCTTTCTACCCCAGTTCAATGTGAAACATTTGAGTTGACGGCAAAGTTCTGCGTTGAGTGTAACTAGGGATGCTGGCTTCAGCAATACCGTGCCTCTGATGTCTTGAAATGGGCTGTGTTCTGTAAATAGCCAGGTGCATTTCCTTTCTTTTACGTCACGTCGTCTGACGTGATCTTGTGGTTGTCTAGCTAGCTTTGTTTAGTGTGATCAAGGAGTGTTGAACCGTTACTCGCTCCAAGCCTCATTTTGTTTGTGAATCACAGTTTTTTGTTCAGTGCCTAGATGGCTTTCGAATACATTCCCATTTATAAATTGCCTCTATGCCAGCTCCCATATGCCTTTGTAATACCAGTGGGGACCATTCCCTATTCCTGGAACCCCGTCAACTATTTCGTCCCTTCTCATCGCTGGTATGCAGAGATCTCGAAATGTCATTTGCATTAGCAATTATATGTATTATTGTAGTTTGAGGCTGATAAAGGATTATATGACGAAAACTGGCCAATAAAAGTGTTAAACCGTTTGAGACCTTCGAACACATTACTCAGCATTACACCGGATGAAGCTCGACTGCGTTCATACTTTGCGTCAGGGTACGCTAGACTGATGCCTGTGTTCTAATCGCTACTGTGCGCTGACTCAAAGTATGAACACTATCGCAGAGGTAGCAGTATCTTATCATGTACAAGTTGTTCATAATACTGTGATAAAAATTGCGCAAGTAATTATGGTTACTTAGGAAAGTATTAGTATTATATATATAGTATTAGTATTACT